CCACAGGCAAGCGAGGACGGGGAGAGCGTGGGCCACTGCCCCTTCTGCCAGCGGCTCTTCATGGTGCTGCTGCTCAAGGGGGTGCCCTTCACCCTCACCACCGTGGATACCAAGAGGTGAGTGGTGTCCTCCTGCCAACAGGGGCCAGGGCCATGGTCAGGGTGGGACAACCTTGGTCCCACGTTGTGGGAAGGGGTGAAGGGTGGGTGCTGGGGGACGCATGGAGCATGATGTACCCCCAATCCTGCTGCCTGAGGGCATTTTCCAGGGCACAGCAGTCAAGGACACCACCTCATCCCTTTGTCCAGGACACACATGTGCATACAAACACAGAACCACAGCATGGTGAGGCTGTCAGGGCCCTCTGGAGCTCCCCCAGTGCAGCCCCTGCCAGAGCAGGATCACCAGAGCAGTCACACAGGAACACGGCCAGGGCTTTGGGTGTCTCCACACAAGGAGACTCCACAACCTCTCTGGGCAGCCTGGGCCATGCTCCATAACCCTCACACCGACAAACTTTGTCCTCATGTCCTCCGCAGGGCACTGGATGTGCTGAAGGACTTCGCGCCAGGCGCCCAGCTGCCCGTTCTGCTCTACAACGGCGAGCCCATGACCGACACCGTCACCATCGAGGATTTCCTGGAGGACAAGTTGGGCCCCCCCATGTCAGTGCCACCCTGAAAGGGGCTGAGGGGCCAAAGAGGGGCTGAGGAGGGGGTGGGCAGGCAACACACGAGCCCCTGCTGCCTTCCTCAGCTGTGCCCGCGGTCCCGCAGGTTCCCCAGCCTGGTCCCGCATGGCCGGGAACGACATCTTCCACAAGTTCTCCACCTTCATCAAGAACCCGGCGCCTGCCCAGGATGAGGGTGAGGAGCAGAGGAGGGACACACACACCCCCCCACACCCCCCATGCGACCTCTCAGGTGCCACCACCCCACAGCCTGCTCAGCTCACCCAGAGCCTTTTCCAGCCTGGGCAGGGGCAGTGCAAGGTGGGCAGAGCACAGACAGGTACAGGGACGGGATGGGAGGAAGCCAAGGCAGCGCTGTG